GTAGGTGAATTAAGGCCTGGCAAATCTAATGCAAGTTTCCAACTCCCAGCAGTCTCTTTCCTTTGCAGGAGACGAGAGAATATGAAGTCTCCATCTAGGTGGGGGCAGCCTAGGGAAGCCAACTCAGGCCTGCACCACAGTCCCACAGCAAGGCTCCTTGCTTCCTGCTGTCCCTCCACCTCCTGTACATACCACCTGGGAGGAGATGCCACCAATCCCTCAAGAAGTTGTGCCCTTCCCCACCTGCAATGCCCACCGTGACCTATTTTCTTGGTGTCACTGCCCACTTAGGGCCCCTCATTGGGCCCACGTCGGGAGGCATCTGCCTGTGGGCAGAACACAGCTGGAGCACAAGCATCAACAGCCAGCATCCCGAGCCTCCTCATGCCTGGACCAGCCTGGAACACACAAGCAGAGCAGGAGTACCTCTCTCCATGTGACCACCACCCCACCCTGGCATGGCAACCTGCAGCAGGGTCAACTTGACCATGGTAGAAACTGCACCAGGATGCTCCTCACGCAGCAATCGCAATGGCCAAAACTCCTCTCAATGGTGACCTCTGGGTAGTCCTGGCATGCCAACATCAGCCTCTTGGGAGGTCTCTAGTTCTCTAAAACCCCAGGAATGGACAGTTTTGCCTCCTGCCCTGTCCCAGTGGAGGCAGTAATTCTAGGGGATCCTAAGGAGTTCAGGGAGATCCTACCCCAACCTCAGTTTGGGCTTCCCTGGGCACTCATGCTCCAGACCAAAGCAGGATACCACATTCTCCCCTGACTACCCTATACCCTGAGGAGAGGGAGACTTTCCTCCGATGTTTATTTGGCTCTTACAAACATCTTCATCCCACTAGTCCCTCCTCCAATTCCAGCCACTTGTCAGGCTCTCCTCTTGGCCACTGTATTAGGCGATAAGGGGAGGGGGGCAGGCATATTCTGGAGAGGAGCAGAGGTCCAAGGACCCAGGAATTTGGCATGAAACAGGTGGTAGGAGAGCCCCAGGGAGATGCCCAGGAGCTGGCTGAAGGCCACTTTGTACATGTAATGTATTATATGGGCTCCAGCCAGAAAACAATCTTTTATTTCTGTTGTTTCCTTATTAAAATGGTGTTTTTGAGAAAAAATACAATCAATGGCCAGGTGAATAATGCTTTCTTGGAGGGATGGGCAGTGGGAGATAAATGGGATATGAACTTCAAGACCAGAAGGCATACTAGACCCACCAATCAATCATCCTCAGATTTTATTTTATTTGTACTGTTTTTGAGATAGGGTCTCACTCTGTCATCCAGGGTATAGTGCAGTGGCTCTATCACAGTTCACTGCAGCAACTTCTGAGGCTCAAGTGATCCACCTCAACCTCCTGAATAGCTAAGACTATAGGTGCATGCCACCACGCATGGCTAATTAAATATATATATATATAGTAGAGACAGAGTCTTACCATTTTGCCCAGGCTGGTCTCCAACTCCTGGGCTCAAGTGATTCTCCCACCTTAGCCACCCAAAGTGCTCAGATTTTATTTTAAAAGAAATAGTTACATGCAGTTGAACAGGGTCCCCTGTCCCAAAAGGGACAGTGTGACAGATGGCAGGAGAAATCAGAGGCCCCAATGGCTGGTGCCACAGGGATGTGGGAGCCCAGGAACCCCTATGCATATCCATCCAATGCCTTATTTCCTCCTCTTTGTCAGGCCCAGAACTACAGGCTGGCACACTCTCAAATCCCTTCTCAATGCCACTGATGCCCTTCTCAATGCTAACTAGGCTCAGGAAGCCTGATGCATCTCTCCTTCCCCGTATTTCCAAGCAAGCAAGGCTTTGGAAATTGGAATAGGAAACAGAGACTGAGCCCCTGAACATGGAGCCCTAACCTGGCTTGGCCTCAGAGAACACTTAGATTGTCAGAAGCAGTGGTAATGCAACTTAGGGACTTGGCTCCTAAGTTAGGCAAAGCCCTAACCATGGGCTCTGGAAAAAGGTGGCTGGGAGGATCTGCTTAAGTTTGCCCCTTCCCTATGAGACCCAGACCAACCAAGATGGAAATGCCCCACATTGGCCCCCAGTATGCACATTCTATGCTGAGAGGTGTGCCCTGCATGGCTGCTTTCCAAGAGTAAGAGCAAGAGGCCGGCAACAGGAAATTATGAGAACTCGGAATCTCCAGTCTTCCAACAGGGAGATCTTGACCACTCATGCTACCTACTCTTGGCTCTAGTACCAGCCACCTTGAAGGATGATGAAGCTCGTCCACGCAGAGTGCAGTGCCTAGATTAGCCACGAGAGGTCACTTCCAAAGATGTCTGTATCCCACCTGCGCGCTCTTCAATCCCCCCGAATTGTCAGGGCGGGAGCTCTCCAAGGTGGCACCATTCCTGGGCTCCACTGGCCTAACTTCGTCCTCCAAATTCCAAGAGGAAGGTGTGTGAAGTTTCCCTGTCACCTGTCAACAGAGCCAAGTCGTATTTCTCTCATTAGCCCATAGTTCCTATTATCAGCTGCAACTGATGGTGTCGGTCAAAGCAAAGACTTGTTCAGTGGATGGATGCCAATGGTTTACTTTTCTGCTCCATAATGCCTTCAGGCTGACACAGCAGCACTGCTGAGCCCTGAGCAGTAGGAAAAAAAGCCAAGGAGAGACAGCACATGAGGTTCTAGCCTCTGCGAGCCTGTGGCATAAAGTATAGCAGACAAGTCAGAAAATCTTGCCTCTTTCATACAAATGATCTAGTTCAGCTCTTCCCTCTCTGAGGGTACACTGACATCCCCACTCTAATTCATCCTCCTTATTGTCCCCAAAGAAAGCGTACCACTTCCTTAGAAACATTCGACATGGTGTAATGGAGTGTATGGCCTGAGAATCAAGGAATCTAATTCCTAGATCTCCACAAATGCACTGTGTGACCTAGGCAAATCACTGCTCCTCTCTGTGCATCTGGAAAAGACGGGATTAAATCAGACGATTTCTAAACCCTTTTTAGTTTTACGACTCTGAGAATGCTGTGTCCCTTAACATTAAAAGTGGGCAGAGCACAGCTACGAGAGAACAATTCCAATTAAACCCCTAGTGTCAAGCACAACGATGCAGTTCCCTTCTCCACTGCTTCATCCACCATCAGGCAGCAATAATCGGCTATCTCTGACGGTGGTACCAAGAGGAGGAGCCAGCGCCCTGAAAAGGAGCATGAATCCCCGCCCAGAATACGAGGCGGGCCCTCAGACTACAAATCCCGGCATGCAGCATAGACGCTCTCAAAAGTATCCCTTCCTGGCAGGCAAATAACTCCTCCCTGGGTCCATCCCACCATAGAATGCATCGCACGCACACGGAACTACAGCTCCCACAATCCACCAGTCCTATCGCGATTCTTGCTACCAGCGTGCAATGCTCCCCCAGTCGCCCTTTAGACCCTTTGGCATTGCAAACTGGGAGTTGGAGTCCGGGATGCCCAGGTAGCTGGGCGTTGTCAGGATTATAAGCTCTCCGCTTTAGGCTTCCCCTAGAAGAGATCTCAGGGACAGTGGTAAAGAGAGGATGGTAACGGGCAGACGCAACTCCCCACAGTGCCACCACCACAGAAGGCAGGGGTGCTCAGGATACAATTAACTGATAAAATTAGTTGTCAGGTGTAAAAGAAAAGTAGGAACCACAGTCATCCAACATGCCACCAAAGGCGTCATTTTCTGTCGCAAATGGCTTTTCTCTTTACCAATATGGCGGCCTGGTCCAGCCACACCTGATGCAAGAACCAACAGTCCAGTACATCCCTAGGAACACGACTGTCACCGACAGGTGACCAACTCCATCCAACACCACTCCTTGCTCCTTTCTGTTCATGCTTGAGGACACCAAGGGCATGACAGCCCATATCCCATTACCAAAATGGCGAAAGGAGCAGCTTTCTTGTGAGGGCCTGCGGGAGACAATACGCGTGCGCGGGAGGCGGCTGTGTTATAGAGTGGGAGGGGAGCACCCCCAACACGCCTGCGCAGGAACAAAGTCCTCTTAGTTTGCACACAAACACCAATGGATGAAGAGTCCCTAGCTTCCTGCGGCTGCGCCTTGACCCCGACGAGCTTTCCCAAGCTCCTGCGCGAGACCTCAGGTCCCGCCCTTTTGTCTCAGTGCGCTGGCGCAGGACAGAAGGTGGGGCTTCGGTGCTCCAGACGAATGCCAGCGCGGCTGCGCGCTGGGGGGTACTCCCTTATCGCGGCTGCGCGGGAGCCCGGCCGCCGGCTGTCACTGCGGTTGCGCGCGGCGAGCAGCGATCTCGGGGCGCCTGCGCGGGTGGCTTTGCGGGCGCTCGCGGTAAGTTTGCGCCAAGTGCGCGGCAGCCGGGACGCAGACGGCGGCAGCGGCGAGAGGCGGAGCCCGGGGACCACCCCCCATCACCCTCCCCCCAGTTACCTCACGTACCACAACCTCATCTAACCTCTCACCCCCCCTCCTATCCCCCCAGCCCCGGGATGGCAGCGCCCGCCAGCCTTCCCGGCCGGACCGGCGGTCGCCAGTGCCGGCTTTAGCCTGTGGGACTAGGCCCCGCCGAGGCCTGACCCCGGAGCCGGGACCCACTGTGCAGCCAGCAGCCGGGCCGGGACTGAGGGGCCGCTCCCCCCTCGCGGCCCGTGGGGAGGACGCTGTCGTCCCGGGGACTAGGGGCCGGGGGGTGGGGGGGAGCCAGGGCGAGGAAGTCGAGAACCGTGTTGAGAAAAAAGAAGCGGGGCCGGGGTCAGGAGCGCCCCCTACCCCCACATCCCCCCTCCCCCCGGGGTTGGGGGGGCCGGAGCAGAGAGCACCCAGCCCGGGAGGTGGATGAATGTGGGAGAAAATGGAGACCAAGACGATCGTGTACGACTTGGACACATCAGGGGGGCTGATGGAGGTAAGAGTGGCCCTCCATCCCCTTCCCCCAGCGTCGGGAGGGAACCTCCGCCCTCCGCCCCACAAAGCCGGTCCTAAACTCGAAGCGCCTAGAGGGTCGAGGGAGGGGGATTCTTCCTCACCCAGCTTCTCCCTTCTCTCTTTGCAATTTGGGGGGTTGATCTCGGCCTTCGAGGACGTTTGCAGCAGTTTCACCTATCCGCCGCCCTCGATTCGCTTTCCCGAGGCGCCAGCCCACTCCATCTCGTTGCACCGGCGGGCCTCCCCACCCCCTTCTTGTTGGCCCCTTTGTGCTTCCCCCAGCACGTCCGGGTACCGGGCTTTGGGCCTCTCCCGAGCCGGGCTTTGGAGTCCCCCACTGTCCATACAAGGAAGTGGCAAGAAGGGAACCGCGCACCCTCTTCCCATCCCCCTACTCTTGATCCTCCCCATTTGGAAGAAGCTGTTCTCGTTGTTGTGCTGCAGGAACGCGGTTAGGGTGGGCTCCCCCTGGTTCCGGGGGCTGAGAGGTTCTGGGAACAGCCTGGATGGGAGGAAGAAGGACAAAAGGGGGGAGAGGGGTGGGTGACGGAGAAGCCGCGCCGGGGGGGCGACGGACCGCCCGGGAGCTCCGAGTGTGCACACACGCGGTTTGTATGTGTGTGCAGCAAATCCAAGCTCTGCTGGCTCCCCCCAAGACGGACGAGACAGAAAAGCGGAGTCGGAAGCCTGAGAAGGAGCCCCGGAGAAGCGGCAGGGCCACCAACCACGACAGCTGCGATAGCTGCAAGGAAGGTGGAGATCTCCTGTGCTGCGACCACTGCCCGGCTGCCTTCCACCTCCAGTGCTGGTAAGGTCCTGGGGACCCCTTTGAAGCTTCTTGGCGGATCATTCTCTGCGCATTCCTTCATCCGGCCTGCCCCTGCCTGCCGAAATAACGGGCGCTTGCTGCCGCTAGCTGACTTTCTGCAGCCTCCGAGGCGAACACCTCCCCGCCCCCAGGTGTTCCCCGGGTTCTGGCAGTTTAGGGGGAAGGAGCAGCGGTGGGTCCGGACTTCTAGGTGGGGGTTGGGAGGAGTGAAGAGAACCCCATATGTGATTGGAAGTCGCTGGGGAGCCGGGACAGAGCCGGCCGGGACGGCAGGCAGTGGCGGGGGAGGAAGGGGAGGAGCTCCGGGCCCAGTGCCGCTTGCCTGCCCGCGCGCCCGCTGCCCTCGGGGTTCCTGCCTGGCCGGGTTCTCTTTGGGGTGGGTGTGTGGAGTCCTTGGCCACCCGAGTTGCCCTGGTCCAGACCCCGGCAACCTGGCACTTGTGGCTGTGGAAGAAATCATGGATGGTGTCTCTCGAGTCCGCCTCTTCTTTGCTTCTCTGTTTACAATATGGCGACCTGCCTTTAAATTATATTTTTATTCTCAGCGCCATTTTGGCTGCATATATGATTTGCAAACGTCTCCCGGGGAACGGTGGGGGCAGCCCATGAGTCCTTTCTGCAGAAGTTCCTCGGGGGCTCAGGCTAGGATCTCGCCGCTTTGGTCCCCTTTCTCTGTCTCCGCTTGCCCCCTGTTGCCTCTCAGAGCTGCCTTCCTCCCTCCTCCCTCCTCCCTCTTCCCTCCTCCTTCCCGGCGCCGCTGCCTCTTAGGAAATCGGACCGGGTTAGACAATTAAAATTGCCCTTGGGCGCCGATTTCACTTCTCCGCTCCGGATCGGCGAGCCCTTCGCTGCAGAATTCTTTGCTGTCGGGGGAGGATTGTGTGCGGTGGTACCGGAAAGGCATTTTTAAGGAGCTGAGAGCTGGAAAGCCTTTACGCTTTTTCCCCCGTTACTGAACGCTAGGGGAGGGGAGAGACCGAACTGAGAGGGAGGGACCTGCGTTGATCGCCCGCTGCTTGATCCTCCTCAGCGGCTCAGCCCAGAACAATCCGGCAAAGAAGAGTTTAAACTCCATCTTCTGCCAGCCGAAATCACCTCTGCCCTCCACAAAAATCCCACATCTGCGGCAGCAAACCCAGATTTCGTCTTGTTCTACTGGGTCTCATTTTGTGGTTCAGCAACAGTTGACTGAGGCAGGCGGGAGGAGCAAGTCTGGAGAGAGAAGAGAGGGCTATTCTGTTTGTTCCCACCAGTTTTTCGATGTTGCCTTTTTTATTCCTCTTTTTGTTTTTGTTTTTGTTTTTTTTAAGTGAAATTTTACTGAAGGTCTCTTAACAGTTCCATTCACATTCCATCTCTCGGTTTGTGGAGTTGTGTCTGCCGTATATTTGTACTAATTGTAGGTTTGGGAACACTTAATAGACAGATGACTGATACTGAGCAAATTAAGTCTGTGGTCAGAAGTTATGTAGGAAGCTCCCATTACCATTCCCAAGATACTTTTGCCCAGGAGGACACCCCATCCTGGCTTGTAAAATTGTAGGGTCCAAAATCATTATCCTAGAGGAAGTTTTGCTGCTGGCTTTAAAATTTTTATTATGCAGTGACTAAGGGTCTGTGGTTTTTAGCCTTTACTTCCTATAAGGTGTAATTTACCTGGAGAAGATATCTCTGGTCGTTTCCTTTGCTGGTCTTAGGAGAAATTTGTGCTTGTATATTGTGTTGCTTACTAGTTACTCCCAGTTGCTTATATTTTTTTAGTGTGCTTATTTGGTGTTTATATTACTAGGACTGAATTGTAGACTTCTTGATTTAAAATGTGGGCTTACATCCTATCCCTAGGATGAAATTGGTGTTAACCATTATTGTTGACACGTATGTTGAGTGAAATTTGCTAAGCTCTCTATTATCTTTAGTCTCATTTATTTGATAAAGCTGAAATTGTTTATTAGAAACGTCAGGCATGGAAAAAGTGTGCTGTCTGGTTTGTCTGAAACTGGGCTTTTAAACTGTAAAACCTAACCTCTGAATTTTTTAATTAGATGAGTCTAAATTGACAAGTCTAAAGTCTTGTCAAGTTGTAACAATTAACAGTTTCCACTTTAGCTGGAAAAGGAGAGAGAAGGAGGGACTCTTTAGCTGTTGGTGAGATTCAGTCTTCCCTAGACTGTACATTTCATTGAAAATTTTTTTTTTTTTGAGACCATGAATGGAAACTGGTAATCAGAGATTTGTGAATAGTAGTAAATGAAGTAATGCTTGTTTCACATCTCCTGTTCTCCTTTGAAGATGCCAGTACTCAATGTACCATTGAGTTATCTGAGTTATTATCTAAATCACAAAGCATTGTAGGTATTGGTGCAAAGGCAGGAAGTCTTTTAAGTGGAATTCTCTAGACGAATTTCATTTAGTGAGGCTTATCCCACTTTTCTGTGTCTGAAGCCACATTCTTTCCACCAAGAGTGAAATATTTTTATTTACTTACTTAGTTTTTCTAAGATAGGAGTCTTTGCTTTGTCTCCCAGGCTTGGAGTGCAGTGAAGCATCTCGGCTCACTGCAACGTCCACCTCTGGGGTTCCAGTGATTCTCCTGCCTCAGCCTCCCAAGTAGGTGGGATTATAGGTGCCTGTCACCATATCCAGCTAATTTTGGTATTTTTAGTAGAGATAGGATTTGACTATGTTAGCCAGGCTGGAGAGAGAAGTATTTCATTAACTTAACCGGAGTAGTTAGATCAAGTAGTTAATGTCTCAGAACACTTTTATTCTTGAATGTGTTTTCATTAATTTGTCCTGGCTGGGCACAGTGGCTCATGCCTGTCCCAGCATTTTGGGAGGCCGAAGTGGGTAGATCACAAGGTCAGGAGTAGTTCGAGACCGGCCTGGCTAACATAGTGAAACGCTGTCTCTACTAAAAATACAAAAATTAACTGGGTGTAGTGGCACATGCCTGTAGTCCCAGCTACTCAGGAGGCTGAGGTGGGAGAAGCGCTTGAACCCCGGAGGCGGAAGTTGCAGTGAGGCAAGACCACGCCATTGCACTCCAGCCTGGGTGACAAAGTGAGACTCCGTCTCAAAAAAAAAAAAAAAAAAAAAAATTACTGCTTGCTTTTGCCATATGAGAGTGAGGTTAGGGGGTATGGCTCTATTTCCTCTTGCTTCCCTTTTAAACTGGCTAAAACAGAATAATTTCCCTGTGTACAGAAAGTACAAGAGTGAGGTTGAGGCCGAGTATAGTGGCTCACACCTGTAATCCCAGCACTTCAAGGGGCCAAGGTGGAAGGATCACCCAAGGACAGGAGTTCAAGACCAGTCTGGGCAACATAGCGAGACTCCATCTCTACAAAATTTAAAGAAAAGGTGAAGTTTAAATTTTCCAAATGCTGTAGGTCTTAATTGCAGTGCTGCCGTGGTTCTCCATCCAGAGCTCTATGGGATAAGTCCTTTTTTAGTCTCTACTATTCCTTGCTAGTCCGCCTCACAGTGAACACAATCCAGTACAATGTTCCAGAAATGGTTCTAGGCAAACTTTACCTCTTGGGTTTAATGACATAGCCATAAACCACAGGGGATCTTTTTAAGATAAATTTCTAAAAGAAATGATTGGTCAAATAAGTTGTTTTAATTGTTCTGTCTTTTCTCAGGAACCAGTGCTTTGTATGAGGCACGTCATCTCTTCCCAGTTAGACTGGGAGCCCTATTTCTGAATTTTCTGTAATGATCCTCTGTATGAAGGAATGAATTGTCTTGTGCACAGTACCGTGACCTCACTGAAGAATTAAACTGGAAAAACTGATGTCTTTGTTTTTGATTAAGTGATAGTGTAATCATTTTATCCAAGTTTAACTGCTTTATCAATTATAGTAGTGATAGTAGGGGTTACTAAATCTGTCCCTAGAGTATTAGAAAGAGAGATGTTTTTAAGTGTCCCTTGGTGAACCTGACCTTCGTCATAATTATCATGCCAGGAGTTGAGCTTTCTGAAAGTTCTCATCTGACTGATCCCAAAAGTCTATTAAAAATTAGAATAACCAGGTGGGACATGGTGGCTTACGCCTGTAATCCCAACACTTTGGGAGGCCGAGGTGGGCAGATGACGAGGTCAAGAGATTAAGACCATCCTGGCCAACATGGTGAAACCCTGTCTCTACTAAAAGTACAAAAAAAAAAATCAGCCAGGCATGGTGGTACATGCCTATAGTCCCAGCTACTCGGGAGGCTGAGGCAGGAGAATTGCTTGAAACTGGAAAACGGAAGTTGCAGTGAGCCGGGATCGCACCACTGCACTCCCTCCAGCCTAGTGATAGATCGAGATTCTGTCTTTAAAAAAAAAAAAATGAGCAAGATCGGGACCATCCTAGCCAACATGGTGAAACCCCGTCTCTACTAAAAATACAAAAATTAGCTGGGTGTGGTGGCGTGCACCTGTAGTCCCAGCTACTCAGAATGCTGAAGCAGGAGAATCACTTGAACCCAGGAGGTGGAGGTTGCAGTGAGCCAAGATTGCCT